AAGTTTTGCTTTTTCAATCTCTAGTTCCAATTCTTTCACTTTCCTTTGATGTTCTCTTTCCTTTTCTTCGGCGTCCATTCTTATCTTTTCTCTTTCCACTTCCCTTTGATGTTCTCTTTCCTTTTCTTCGGCGTCCATTCTCATCTTTTCTCTTTCCACTTCCATCGTCATCCTTTCTCTTTCGAAATTCATTTGGCGTTCTTTTTCCTCTTTCTCTGCTTGAAGTTTTTCTTTTTCTAAGTTCATTTGGCGTTCTTTTTCCTCTTTCTCTGCTTGAATTTCGAGTCTTCTTATTTCCAACTTTGTTTGTGCTGCCGTCATCTTCGCAGTTTCCGTTTCTTCAGGCGTCGACATATTAAACAGTTCTAATGAGCGTTATATCTTTGATAACGGAGTCCTTCTCCTTAGAATGATCCTTTACCGCTGCCACCAGAATATGTTACCCCTCTATGTTGTACTATCCTTATGTTATACAAAAGACCAGCAACAACCGTTCTCAAGTACAAATGTTGAGTATTAACACAAGTTACAACAATGATAACATGTATGGCCTGAGTATCGAGCTTAACAAGTTACTCCTTCCACGGCCACACCAGGACTGACTCTATTTGCTGTGATCTTACAGTTTATCCTAAAGTAATTATAATCTAATTCTGATAGGGAAAGTGTCTTCTACTGATCTACAATTAAACCGTGACCAGTTAATGTCTCCATGGTGAAGAGCATGTCCAGCCAATGTTTCACGGCATGATTCTGACACTAAAGGTGATAAGCCAGCCAGTCACATTAAGATTTAACACAAATTATGTTCTACACTTGAGTGACAAATTTCACTATTAACACCATGCCTTTATATATAAAAAAGATGGTAAACGCAATATATAACCAAACGTTTCCTATATAGAAAAAAAGTTTTTTATGTTCTCTCATTTAATTGTAATGCATATGATTATACAAAGATTTAACACAAATTATGTTCTACACTTGAGTAAATCCTTTTTTAAAAATATGTAAACCCAATAAAAAAATTTAAAAAAACACAGAGTATTTAATTTTTAATATGATCACATGTAAAATATGTAGCAATTACTGACTTTCATGGATTTCCTAATTCATAATACAGGAGATTTGGCCCATGTACTAATATCACATTTACACAAATATAAATGTCAGATATGTGTTTACACAAATGTCAGTAGTACAGTTTGAAACAGTTTGAAGCCAATTAACATATATATTACAGACAACTGGATTGTAAAACACGACAAGTTGAGCATCAGCGTCAATGTCCATTTGTAAATAAATATGCTAACCAACGCAATATACACAAAAGACTGGTATCTAAATTAATTTGTTTTGAGAGTCAGTGTAATGCATAAAGTGATACTTGAGTATCTTCACAAGTGGCTATGAGTACCACATCACTCCTTAATGGTTTTGTCTCCATACTCTTAATAAATAAATATATTTATCAGGTCATACGTATGTACACAGTTAACAACAAACAGTGCTTATAATTCTCATCTTAAAAGGGATATGGCTTATATACAAGTGACAGTGCTCTTTAATCTTCATTTTCAGCATTTTCCATTTTAAACAAATTCTATACTTTTCAATCATCCCTTGTTTGTTTATTGCAGACAAATTCTGTTCTCTTTTAATCTTCCCTCTCAGGGCTATGCCAGACAAATTCTATACTCTTAAATCTTCCCTTCCTGGGTTATTACAGACAAATCTGTATTCTTCAATCTTCCCTTTCTGGACTATTCCAGACAAATTCTGTTCTCTTTAATCATCCCTTTCTGGGCTGTTCCAGACAAATTCTGTGCTCTTAAATTATCCCTTTCTGGGCTATTCCAGACAAATTCTGTTTTCTTCAATCGTCCCTTTCTGGGCTATTCCAGACAAATTCTGTTCTCTTTAATCATCCCTTTCTGGGCTGTTCCAGACAAATTCTGTGCTCTTAAATTATCCCTTTCTGGGCTATTCCAGACAAATTCTGTTTTCTTCAATCGTCCCTTTCTGGGCTATTCCAGACAAATTCTGTTCTCTTTAATCATCCCTTTCTGGGCTGTTCCAGACAAAATCTGTACTCTTTAATCATCCCTTTCTGGCCTATTCTTGGCACAATCTGTGCTTTCAAATATTCCTGTTTACTGCATACCTGACACCAAGGATTGTACATATAACATAAATGTTTACAATATCTGTTCTTACTAATTTAGAATGAAAAACAGTATACCTATCTAGTTGCTAACTGATATCGACTGACAAATCCTGGTTTGAAAAGAAAAAACGTGTACATGAAACATATAAAATCTAAAACATGTATTGGCACAAACACGGTATTTTTGCCTTATGCAACAACGCAATTCCATCAACACGGATGTGACCAACCGCAACTTGATATACTGCTGAAAGGGGGAAAAATCAGTATACAAAGATGAAAGGAAAGCAATAAATGTTTTTTTTCCAAAAATATTGTATAAACCTATCTAAAACGAAACTAGGAATCATCATATTGTTGATATAAACTTTTTTCTGTCTGCTTTAGTAAATGTGTTGATATTTAATTCATTATTTTTCTCAGTTATATTTGACGCTCAGTTTTTATCAGTAGGTGCATTTCACTTGTGCATCTTTTGTACAGTTTGCTATGTTATAACGAAACTTACTTGGTGTATCTGAAAGTCTTTTTTAAGGAGGTTGCTAAGTCTGTGAATAATAATAATGCCGCTGCAGACACGTCGGCTGTGGATTAGACAGAAATGAAAGCAGAATTTTGTTGAGGAATAAAAATATCCGAGTCAACGCGAGGTGATATGTACACAGTGTAAACATTACTGGTAAAACCACAGCCATTTTCGTTTTGTATTTGAGAGCAGTGTTAATAGATTCACGTGTATAATGAATAAATAGACATAAATAGAAATATGACTCAATTATATTCACTAACATGGTTTTTATTCATTTGTAGTTTTATACAGTTTACTTAAGTGAATGCAGATAACAATACGTGACATAGCAGAAAGCAAACTTATTCAATACACTGGCATACATAGAATTCAGGTCAACTTTCCTAACCATGACTTCACCTACATAGCTGTCATGTATAACCACAAAAATAATTGAATGATAATCAATCTATTTTGATATATTTAGGGAGACCTTCCGCATTTATGTATTATATCCACATCGAAGGAAAATAACCTTGAATGATGCACAACATGTATGTGCAAGTGACTTATGTAATAATAATAAACCTGATTTATTTTACAATTGCGAAGCAGGTTTTTCCAACTTATATTACTAACTCTTGTTGGCACGGATGGAAGCGCGCGAGCAGTCTTACTGTGGGAGGAAACCAGAGTACCCAGGGGAAACCCACGTGGTCAGGCAGTTGAACCCACACCTTTTCACATCAATTCCGGTAATCGAACCCCGGACGGCTTGGTGAAAGGAGAGTGCGTTACCACTGCGTCACCCGATCACCATGGTGACTTATGTGGTTCGGCAGAATAGTTTTGACTAGGTGGTACTCTTTTAGTATCACGTGACTTTAAGTAATTAGCTATGGAAAGAGTGTTTTCTTAATGTTATGAAGATTAAACATAAGAATTCCATTTTCAATAGTATGTGCAAAATCTGATACGAAAACACAAAGAAAATACCGCCATGTTTACAGGCTCTCAGGTTTATATGGAAACTCCTAAAAATACAGTACAGTCACTGAAGAAAATAGATAAAACCAGGTGTTCCGGAATAGTTAGTGTCTTCGGCTTTATATACATCCACCACGTAAATCTTAATCATTCCAAATAAGTAATGTTACGCTCCCAAAATGAGTTCTTGAATAGCAACTGAACTGCGACCTGCATTAAACCATAGATTGGGGAAGCAGGAAACTTTAATATAGAAATCGAATATTCACAGCAGGGAATTAAGATAATCACGTCATATCATGATCTACTCACCACGTTTATTAGTTGACGATAAGTTGTCGGTGCTCAATGAAAATGATAGATACATAGCTAAGATGAATTCAGCAAAAATGTGACCTTAAATTCATTTTCATTCCATTTTCTTTAGCTCGTTAGAAGTTTGCTTGGATAAGAGATTGCTTTATTTGATACATCCTACATATATTTGTATAATTCTATATGTTAACAATCACAAAATAACTCATTTTTAATCAATAATATATCATATATAGGTTTGCTGTCTGAATGAAAATCTTACAAGATTTACGGTAATGAAAGCTTCGTATCCCCAGGCAACTGTCATTAGCACTAACAAGAAACCGCTTGATACAAGTTAATTGATATCATGTTTGATTCTAGTTTAATTGACAGTAAGTGTCGCTGTTGCGAATCTATTATATCAAGATGAGTTACACCACGACCATACAGGTAGACATCAAACCCAGTGAAGACAACTCGCTTGTACTGTGTAAGAATACATCCTACGGTGTTTCTCGAACAACTACTGTGACTTCGTGGTCTGCGGTGTAATTTTTAGGTAAATGTATCAAATGGAAACTTTATAAACAGGAAAAAAATAATGATAACGTCTTTCGATTACATCATATTCCTGTAAATCAGTATTGTATGTGTGGTCGTCAAACACTTTGGTTTTCAATATAACTTAGATTCTTTTATATTCATTATAGAACTATGATTGTTCGTTGTTACTAAACTTATTTTAATTTGGGTACGTGTCATTTACTTTCTTGCATCGATGAAGCAGTGGACGCTTAGTCCGGAACACCTGGTTTTTATAACACTCGGTTTTTATCACACCTGGTTTTATAACACTCGGTTTTTATCACACCCGGTTTTTATCACACCCAGTTTTTATAACATTTTGATAACACCTGGTTTTATACTATTTGTATACTTCGTGTTTTCCTTAGTTTCAATTTCTTTGAATTTAATTTAAAAAATTTTGCTTACAAGCTGATATTTTCTTTGTTGCTTTTGAATGACAGGGATGCTCACAACATGGCGAATACAAGCCTGTTCATGTTAACCCTGATTCTATGGATAATATGTATCTCCAGAGAAGCTGCTGGGAAATGTAAGAAATACGCTGACCAAGTCCTTCTCGTTTCCATGGACGGGTTTAGATATGACTATCCAGAGAGAGCGACCACACCAAACTTTGACAGAATGGCTCAGAAAGGGGTGAAAGCAGATTACGTCACAAATGTGTTCCCTACCAAAACCTTCCCATCCCACTATAGCGCCGTTACAGGTATGTTTGGGATAAGATTCCTCTTAAGTTAAAGCAGAGGGAATTCTACAAGTGTTGAAAAAATATGCAGAAAATTTCTATGTAATGAAAGTTACAACTTGTGGTGTTCTTCCTTACGCTGTTGCGATTGTGGAACTCTTTTGGTTCGTCCGTAATAAGAGCTGTAAAAAAGGCATTGGTTTTCTATAAATGCATTAAAATCTTATTTTTTTCTTCCCCGTAATCAGCATGTGATTAACATTTTACATTACTAATAGTATTGCCATCGTCTTGCACTACAAACATGGGTAATGATGTATGATCTATCGCTCTTTGTTATAATAACAGTTTAAGGATTATGATTTTTGTCAGAACCATATTGCTTGTGTTAGAAATATGAATTTTGTTCGATCCTGGTATGGAAGACCATGATGTAATACCATAACTACTTAATGTTCAACATAGGACTGCATACGGAAAGTCACGGAATCGTAGGAAACACAATGTATGACCCAGAGTTTGACGAATACTTTTCCATGAGAACCCATGAGACAAAATGGTGGGACAGGGGAGAGCCATTGTGGATAACAGCCCGGAAGCATGGTCGAAGTTCCGGCTGCATGTTCTGGCCCGGAAGTGAAGTGGAGATACAGGGTTTGCGTCCGAACAGGTGGTACAAATACAACGAATCTATAACCTATGATGAGCGAGTAGACATCGTCATGGATATGCTCAAAGTTGATAAGTTAAACTTCGTTACCCTATATTTCCATCAGCCAGATCTAGACGGCCACATTTATGGACCTAGTGCGACAGAGATTGTCGAAAAGGTAGAAGAAATGGACGCACTTCTTGGGACACTCTTGGACAAATTAGACGAGAATGGACTCGTAGACAAAGTTAACTTGATCATCATGAGTGACCATGGAATGACCGAAATTGATTATGACAATAAATTAGTAGAGATCTACGACTTAGTGAATAAATCTCTAATCGAGCGCACAGTGGACAGTGGTCCGATTATGCACGTGGTTCCAATTGTTGGACAAGAAGATGCTGTTTTAAATGCAATAAATAGCCACCCTCACTTCACAGCCTACAGAAAAGCTGATATACCTGACAGGCTACACTACCAGAATAACCGAAGAATAATGCCAATCTTCGTAATGTCGGATGAAGGATGGTCTATAACATGGGTGAGTTCATTTTGTCCGGAACAAAACGGATACGAGTTTAAATACAATGTACTGTCGTGACGCTGGTGACGGGATGTATGGTTTCACACTAGTTTCCATTAAAGTGAGTTTATGATGAAATAACATTAATGGTTACATTCAGTTTAATTTGTATGGAAAAGTTGTAATCCATGTTTCTGGATCGTTTCCTCTCTCTCTCTCTCTTCTCTCTCTCTCTCTCTCTCTCTCTCTCTCTCTCTCTCTCTCTCTCTCTCTCTCTCTCTCTCTCTCTCTCTCTCTCTCTCTCTCTCTTTTGTTTAAAATAAATATTCGTATTAACAAATATGCAGTTTGACTCCAAATTTGATCTTTTAACATTCCATCCCAAGGCAATTGGGAGTTTATTACATGATGAATATATTCTCTCATATAACAACTTAAATAAAGCCCAGAAACTTAAAGTTATCTAAGTTCCGTTTTGTGTTCAGAAAACGTTGTTCACAAAACTATTTGTGTTCTGACATTTTTTTTTTGTTCCAGAATCGAACTTGGACGAGACGTTATCTCAGTAAAGGTAACCATGGATACGACAACGGTCTGATGTCCATGAAGTCGATATTCTATGCCATGGGTCCTAACTTCAGGCAAAAATATCCGGCGTCGCCCTTCAAGTCGATTGACCTGTACCCACTGGTGTGTGAACTGCTAGATATGCCGCCCTCAGATAACAATGGTACTCTAGCAAACACCAAAAACTTCATAAAACCTTTCAAAAATTGCGACGGAACTTTCAGAATCACTTCCAGTAAATTTTATCGTCTACTTTCATATTCCAGGAAGTCGACAGTCCGGAACGAAGGAAAGATGAATTATTTTTTTCGACATGAATTTCGAGAAATGTTTTCAGGAAAAATTTGTAATCACTTCATTCAAAGATAAGGACCTATAGAAATTGGCGTGAGAATGAAATATACATCTCGGATGAGTATTCATGATCCTTGGCAAGAAACGAAGTTGTACTGTAAATAAAATATTAGCTACTCTATACATTAAGAAAATAGAGATTTTGTCCATATGTATTCTTACTTATTTTGAAAGTCGAATGCAACGACTTACATCTACATTAAAGTATCAACAAACTAACGTGGTTTATTTTTTCTTCCATTAGTTTTCCATTAGACGGGCGGAATGTTCCATCTAGATTTTTATTAGAGACAAGGAGTCATGATACACTTCACATAGTTATCACACCCATGATAAAGATAATGAAATAAGTCATAGTAACGGCCATATCAACCTTTCGACTTTTCAAACTAACTTTCTTAGGAGTTTTCTGGGGTACTTCAAATAACACGCAATAAAGATTAAATTAGGACGTGGACAAAAGTACTTGTACCATGAAACAGGTTCTTTAGAGAATTATCAGGTTTTTTGACGTTTCTCAACAAATATTTATAAACTCATTGGAATGCTTAGTGTTATATGCATATGAATATGGATATTCATATTCACACAGTAGTATAACAGTATGTAAGAGTGTAATCTAATGGTTAATCACGAAAGGCTGGAACCTGCTTAACATGCCTTGTTGATAACAGCGTGAGTAAAACATAACGACGAGGATGGGATTCGAACCCACGCGGGGAGACCCCAATGGATTAGCAGTCCATCGCCTTAACCACTCGGCCACCTCGTCTGTACATCAGCAACATCGTAACAGTATACAACGTAAAGGGGTCAGGGTACACTTCACAGGGTCGTCATCGTAACAGTATACAATGTAAAGAGGTCAGAGTGCACTTCACTGGGTCGTCATCGTAACAGTATACAACGTAAAGGGGTCTGGGTACACTTCACAGGGTCGTTATCGTAACAGTATACAATGTAAAGGGGTCTGGGTACACTTCACAGGGTCGTCATCGTAACAGTATACAATGTAAAGGGGTCTGGGTACACTACACAGGGTCGTCATCGTAACAGTATACAATGTAAAGGGTCATGGTACACTTCACAGGGTCGTCATCGTTACAGTATACAATGTAAAGGGGTCTGGGTACACTACACAGGGTCGTCATCGTAACAGTATACAATGTAAAGGGTCAGGGTACACTACACAGGGTCGTCATCGTAACAGTATACAATGTAAAGGGTCAGGGTACACTACACAGGGTCGTCATCGTAACAGTATACAATGTAAAGGGGTCTGGGTACACTTCACGGGGTCGTCATCGTAACAGTATACAATGTAAAGAGGTCAGAGTACACTTCATACGGTCGTCATAGTAACAGTATACAATGTAAAGGAGTCAGGGTACACTTCACATGGTTGTCATCGTAACAGTATACAATGTAAAGGGGTCAGGGTACACTACACAGGGTCGTCATCGTAACAGTATACAATGTAAAGGGGTCAGTGTACACTACACAGGACCGTCATCGTAACATTATACAATGTAAAGAGGTCAGAGTACACTTCATACGGTCGTCATAGTAACAGTATACAATGTAAAGGAGTCAGGGTACACTTCACATGGTTGTCATCGTAACAGTATACAATGTAAAGGGGTCTGGGTACACTTCACAGGGTCGTCATAGTAACAGTATACAATGTAAAGGGGTCTGGGTACACTTCACAGGGTCGTCATCGTAACAGTATACAATGTAAAGGGGTCTGGGTACACTTCACAGGGTCGTCATCGTAACAGTATACAATGTAAAGGGGTCTGGGTACACTTAACATGGCTGTCATCGTAACAGTGTACAATGTAAAGGGGTCTGTGTACACTACATAGGGTCGTCATCGTAACAGTATACAATGTAAAGGGTCAGGGTACACTACACAGGGTCGTCATCGTAACAGAATACAATGTAAAGGGGTCTGGGTACACTTCACGGGGTCGTCATCGTAACAGTATACAATGTAAGGAGGTCAGGGTACACTTCACAGGGTCGTCATCGTAACAGTATACAATGTAAAGGGGTCTGGGTACACTTCACCGCCGTAATGGTATGCAATGTACTCCAGAACGTATCCTTTTGACAGATTTGCGATTCAATAAGGGCTGACCATAATTTTTATTCTAAAAAAAACATGAGAGTCGGGATAAGCTATCTGGTGTTGTTTTCTTTAGTGAGTGTGAATATTAGAAGGGGCTTAACTCTTGCAAGAGACATATGTGCAGTTATTTACAATTTACCAACCAACATATGCCTTTCATGTGCTTATTTTGCTTATCTTGTCCTCATTTCATATATTTTGAGAAAGAATTTTGATTTTGGTGGCATATCATAGTTCTTTTGTTCGACTCTATATTTTGTGCAGACTATCTATTATTGTTTAGAAGTGTGAAGGTTGTGTGATAGAAAACATTTTTTTTACCTGCTGTCGTGCTTCGCCAAAGCAGATGGAAGATTGCACGAATGTCGCACAGATGAATACCATAGTGAATAGATGCAGTAGAGCCAAGTAATGAATTAAACTGCATCCTATAGCTGTTTCATCCGTCTAGGCCTTGTCAGCATAGTAAGTGACAAAGGACCTGAGAGGCGACTGAAGATTTGAAGAGCGAAGAAATATTGATCAAAAATTAATATAAAAAAATGCATCAATACCAAAATATCTTACAATTTGTAAATTTCAATTTTGAAATATGTTAAAAGAACGTTAAGTGCATGTGAGTGAATTAAAACGTGGCATAGAGGTTGAATCTCGAGTCAGATAAAGATAACGAATTTCCTTTCTGTTCCTAATGTAAAGATAGATGTACAGTCAAAAAATGACTGGTTGGTTTTGATACAGTTATTTGATCTTTTGGCTACCCATCACTGATGTATTTAGGCTGACATTTTTTGATGACGTTATTGATGTTTTTGGCATGGTAGAGTACGTAAAGGCTGACTGGTTGGTTTTGATGACGTTATTGATGTTTTTGGCTACAGAACGTAAAGACTGTTGGTTTTGATGACGTTATTGAATTCTAATTAACATGTTTTTATCTAATTATGTTTGAATTAAATTATCGAATGTGTGTCTTCAGTTTATGTTTTAACTAGTTCACGAACTATTGGTTTTGATGACGTTATTGATGTTTTTGGCTTTGGTAGAGTACGTATTTAGGCTGACTAGATGGTTTTGATGACGTTATTGATGCTGTTAGCTATGGTAGAGTACGTATTTAGGCTGACTGGTTGGTTTTGATGACGTTATTGATGTTGTTGGCTTTGGTAGAGTACGTATTTAGGCTGACTGGTTGCTTTTGATGACGTTATTGATGCTGTTGGCTTTGGTAGAGTACGTATTTAGGCTGACTGGTTGGTTTTGATGACGTTATTGATGTTTTTGGCTTTGGTAGAGTACGTATTTAGGCTGACTATTGGTTTTATATTATTGATGTTTTTGGCTATGGTAGACGTATTTAGGCTGACTGTTGAAATTTTGATGACGTTATTGTTGGCTATGGTAGAGTACGTATTTAGACTGACTGGTTGGTTTTGATGACGTTATTGATGCTGTTGGCTATGGTAGAGTACGTATTTAGGCTGACTGGTTGGTTTTGATGACGTTATTGATGTTTTTGGCTATGGTAGAGTACGTATTTAGGCTGACTGGTTGGTTTTGATGACGTTATTGATGTTTTTGGCTATGATAGATTGTATTTATACTGGTTGGTTTTGATGACGTTATTGATGAAAATTAAGATCAGGAATCCTTCTTACTAAAATCTTAATGTGTGTGGAAATTTTGATAATTACCAATGGTACGTATTTTGACTGGTTGGTTTTGATGACGTTATTGATGTTTTTGGAGTACGTATTTAGGCTGACTGGTTGGTTTTGATGACGTTATTGATGTTTTTGGCTATGGTAGAGTACGTATTTAGGCTGACTGGTTGGTTTTTGACGTTATTGATTTTAGAGTACGTATTTGACTGGTTGGTTTTGATGACGTTATTGATGTTTTTGGCATTATGGTAGAGTGTGTACGTGACGTTTTATTTAGATGCTGCTATGGTAGAGTACGTATTTAGGCTGACTGGTTGGTTTTGATGACGTTATTGATGTTTTTGGCTTTGGTAGAGTACGTATTTAGGCTGACTGGTTGGTTTTGATGACGTTATTGATGCTGTTGGCTATGGTAGAGTACGTATTTAGGCTGACTATTGGTTTTGATGACGTTATTGATGCTGTTGGCTATGGTAGAGTACGTATTTAGGCTGACTGGTTGGTTTTGATGACGTTATTGATGTTTTTGGCTATGGTAGAGTACGTATTTAGGCTGACTGGTTGGTTTTGATGACGTTATTGATGTTTTTGGCTATGGTAGAGTACGTATTTAGGCTGACTGGTTGGTTTTGATGACGTTATTGATGTTTTTGGCTATGGTAGAGTACGTATTTAGGCTGACTGGTTGGTTTTGATGACGTTATTGATGTTGTTGGCTATGGTAGAGTACGTATTTAGGCTGACTGGTTGGTTTTGATGACGTTATTGATGATGTTGGCTATGGTAGAGTACGTATTTAGGCTGACTGGTTGGTTTTGATGACGTTATTGATGTTTTTGGCTATGGTAGAGTACGTATTTAGGCTGACTGGTTGGTTTTGATGACGTTATTGATGTTTTTGGCTATGGTAGAGTACGTATTTAGGCTGACTGGTTGGTTTTGATGACGTTATTGATGTTGTTGGCTATGGTAGAGTACGTATTTAGGCTGACTGGTTGGTTTTGATGACGTTATTGATGTTTTTGGCTATGGTAGAGTACGTATTTAGGCTGACTGGTTGGTTTTGATGACGTTATTGATGTTTTTGGCTTTGGTAGAGTACGTATTTAGGCTGACTGGTTGGTTTTGATGACGTTATTGATGCTGTTGGCTATGTCAGAGTACGTATTTAGACTGACTGGTTGGTTTTGATGACGTTATTGATGTTTTTGGCTATG